CTCCCAGAACATTGAATTTTGTGACCACAGTTGCAAACAGTCTCCAGAGATCCTGTTCTACACCAGACCGGTGGAGCCAAACTGCAGCCCATCATCATCCTCATCTGGTTGTAAGTAGGCAATCTAGTATATTATTAGTGACACTAATCTATAATTTACCTCACATTAAATGGACACCATAGATTAATGAAGTGGTTCTGGTGTCTATAGCCGGTCCATGCAGGCTTTTTAATGTAAACACACACTGTGTGCAGCACTGGCGTTAGTTCATATGGCAGATCATATGAGTGGGGCATTGTGATGTCACATGGGTGGGTGCGGCAAATTTTTCTTTTGTCTAGGGCGGCAAAAATCCTTGCACCGGCTCTGGTCCTGGGCAGGTGCACCAGTCTACTGGTGACCCACAGGAGGGGAGTGCACTGATTGCACTGCACTCTCATCCTGCCCAGACCCATCTTTACCGCAGTGCAAGTGCCCTCTGCCCCTAATTTACAGTGGCTCACACTCACAACAAGCAGTGCCTGGAGCCCTTTGCAGAGACGGGAACAAAGAGTTTCTGCGGCAGCTGGACGTCCTGCAAGCATTACATTAAACAGCTGTTCCCCATGCAGCCACCGGTGGCGCTGTGCTGGAAGAATGTGATTACTCTTCACTTCCTCCCAGCCTACAGAGCAGCGCATGGGAGAGAGAGGAGGAGGCATGATTTAATCTTACAACAAATCCAGTAAGCAAATCTTTATAAATTTGGGGGGATCAGCTCTGTTTCCACAGTTTATTGGTGTTTACTCTGATGTCTGTATTAATATTGAGGGATGTCTAAGTAGTAACATCAGTGTGTGTCAGCAGGGCCAGCCGTTGGGGTGTGCAAGCTGTGCGGTCACATAGGGTGCCATGACAACAGAGGCGCCCAGCGGCCAAAACAGCTCACAAGTTGGGGACTCCAGCATATTCAATTTTAACGATTCGCTGGTGGTCCACTGGTGCGCACCAGCAGTATCCTCTCCCTCATGGTTCCAGCGCTCAGTTAGTGAGTCAGAGCACAGGCTCAGAGATTCTCAGCCTGCGCTCTGACAACATTGAAAGTCAGAGCCGTGAAGGAGCGGGTATGGCAAAGAGCTACTGATTAGCATAACATCAATATCCGTTATAAAACCAGGAAAAGGTGGGCATTGATGGTGAACTGATTTGGTGGTGCAATGGGCCACTTGACTGATTTTACCACCCAGGCCTAAGGCTGCCAGCCCTCGCCTGTTGACTCCAACACAAAGACACAGACCAATAAGAACAGTGATTAAATGCACGACACTCTCATAATAAACATACAATCCCTCCTCTCTGTCTGGGAGATAATTGAGTCAGATACTGTATTAACTCAATTATCTCTAGGCAGAAAAAAACACATTTCTCAAAAGTCCCAAAAGTACCCCAAAACACATAATATCCCCACAAATGTTACATCCCCTGATAGCCCTGATCTGGGTTACCAACATATCCGAAAATCATCCTATGGAAGTCAAAGTTTTTACCGACCGCAGGCATGGTCCCATAGCCAAAAATAGTTCCATAGAATCACGGCTAAGTGCCGCTGGGGGACCAACCGGGATCCGCACAATTTTCACGCCAAAAATACTTCCAGGGCATTCGTGGCTAAGTCCCCCTGAAGTCTATTCGTGGTTTTGGTCCATGCGAACAAGATGGTCGCCACATGTGTTTGAATGCTATTTCGAATGGCAGTTTGGGAGTTCGGGAGTTCGAAAAGCCACTTCAAAAGTTTGAATTGTTCCTGGTACAAGTCCCAACAGGCACAAATAGTGATTTAAACCAAGTTTTATCACAAGGGCCATAGTCACAGGGTAAGAGGCTGGCAAGTATGCCCCTCCAAGAACCTGTGACGAGGTCCAGTTCGTCACACTCACCATCAAGACTTCTCTAGGGTTGCAGCGTTCCTAGACTCTCACCTAGTCTCCATTACTTTAAAAAATCATTAAAAACTCACTTCTTCAGGAAAGCATATCAATTAAACTGTTGTTATTTTTTCCTCCCTGTACATTGCTTCATCTCCTGCAACTGGCATCCAAAAAAAATAAACCCTCCGTGAAAACTACTCTAGCACTCAGCAGCCTAATTTTCTATCCCACCCTTATTTTTTGTGTCATTACCTCTAGCGTGTAAGCTCATTTGAGTAGAGCCTACAACCCACTCTGTTCCTGTATGTCCAACTTGTGTGGTTACTGTAGCGGACCATGGGTAACCTGACTAGTTACCTCTGCTAATTCCTACTTTCAGCCACCCTGGAACCATTAGCATACAAATATTACTCAGATCGGTTCGGTGAAACGGGAATGCCATCGAGGTAAAGTTTTCGGCCTGGCACGAGGCAGTAGCCCAAAACAGTTCCAGGGAAATAGGTGCCCTGGCCAGTCTCTGTTCGGGGGGTTTCTGTGCAAACACCATGCAAGGGGATTGTCTTAATTCCAGGATACAAATGCTCCATCTGTTCAGGTAGTTCATATCTCCTGAACGTCGTTTGCATAGGTGGTTGGGAAGTAGAACGGCAGTGGTCTAATCTTTACTGGGGTTAGTGCGAGTGCCTAGCGAAAAGAGTTCCAGGCACTCGATGAGCAAGTACCGCTTCCCATGTTTGCACCCAGGGGAAGCATTCATTAACCCCTCAGTGACCAGACCATTTTTACATTTCTGTGTTGTTTGTGTTTAGCTGTAATTTTTCCTCTTACTCATTTACTGTACCCACACATATTATATACCACTTTTATCTTCTCGCCATTAAATGGTCTTTCTAAAGATACGATTATTTTCATCATATTATATAATTTACTATAAAAAAAGATGAAATATGATGAAAAATATAAAAAAACACACTTTTTCTAACTTTAACCCCCACAATCTGGTAAGCATCTACAACCGCCAAAAAACACCCATGCTAAATAGTTTCTAAATATTGTCCTGAGTTTAGAAATGTCCAGTGTTAACAATGTTCTTAGCTTTTTTGGTAAAGTTAGAGGGCTAAAAGTACACTTTGCTATTTCCAAACCATATTTTTTCAAAATGAACGCATGTTACATTATAACACTGATATCTGTCAGGAATCCCTGAATAATCCTTCACATGTATATATTTTTTAAAAGAAGACAACCTAAGGTATTAAACTTGGGGTATTTTGACTCTTTTCATGCAACCATTTTACCACCAATCTATGCCAAATTTTGACACACATAGCAATTTAAGAATAAATGTACTGAGAACTTTAAGGGTTACTGCCAAAGAACACCCCAATATGTGTTCAGCAACATCTCATGAGTACAGTGATACCCCCCATGTATAGGTGTGTCGTGTTCTCTGGGGGCTAAAATACCTTATTTGGAGGGTGCGCATTCAAGTTTTCCTACTTGGAATTTTCACAGGTGGTCATCATGCACCCATGTCCTATTTGGGACATTTTTGAAGCCAGCCAATGTAATTTGCCCCATCAAACCATATATTTTTTAACAATAGACCCTAAGATATTTCAAATGGTGGTATTTTAACACTTTCTATGCATTAATTCTATCACCAGTCTTTGTTGAACTTTTGGGTAGTCATTTTTTTGTGTTATTTTTCTCACATTGTACTTTAGGCATGGATTCTCAGTTCCTGTTATGTGTTACGGACAAAGCACATCCCAATATGTGTTCAGCAACATCTCCCGAGTACAACACTTCCACTAATATACAGGTTTTATGGGTTTTTGCAAACTTACAGGGGTCAAATGTAGGGCCTTCCCCTTTTCCATGTTTGCATATTGAAATTTGCCATATTTGTTTGCTGGGCTTATGTTGCTTTTGAGACAGTATAGCAGCCCAGGAATGAAAATAAACCCCATCATGGCATACCATTTGTAAAAGTAGACAACGCACGGTATTCAAAATGGGGTATGCCCAGTCTTTGTAGTAGCCACTTAGCCATAAACGCTTGCCAAAGTTAGTGTTCATATTTGTTTTTTGCATTTTTTTTTTTTACACAGAAACTCCACTTTTACTGGTGATTTCATCATTGTGATAAGTTTTACTGTTTTAAACACCCACATTTGTGTTCAGCAAAGTCTCCCAAGAATAACAATATCCCCCATGTACAGGTTTTATGGTGTTTTGAAAAGGTACAGGGTCAATATAGGGCTTGCCCAATTCAGTTTGCCAGCTTTGTTTGCTGGGTCTGTGTGACCTTTTGAGACCATATGGTAACCCAGGAATGTTAAATAACCCCATCATGGCATACCATTTTCAAATGTAAACAACCCAGGGTATTTCAAATGGGGTATTTCCAGTCTTTTGTAGTAGCCACTTAGTCACAAATGCTGAACAAAGTTAATGTTTTTATTTGTTTTTTATAAATAAAAAAATTCAATTTTTATTTGGTGTGCATTGGAAGAGGGGTAGTCTTATACGGCGAGTATATCCCAAACTATATATTTTAACAGGAAAAGTTGGGTGTCGTCTTATACGCCCAGTCGTCTTATTTTCCGGAAAATACGGTACATAATTTTTTTAAAATTATTTTTACAGTTTTTTTAATTTAATTTTAATTATTATTTATTTTTTTAGAATATTTATATATATATATATATATACACATGTGTAATTTTACTCTGTGTATGTTTATATTAATATATGTATATATTAATAAAAAAATACACTTAGTATTGTCAGGGTATTTATATCGGCAGACATCTTGTGCTATGATCGAAATTAAAAGTGTATATGTTGAGTCACTTTGAACAAAGCAGACTCCATTTTGTTATTTTCAAACTAACAAAAGACACAAGATTTCTATCTATAAAACTAACCACTTTCCCAGAGCTAAGGGAATGCATAGTATATACAAACCAAGTGATAAGGAGAACGGGGGTTGGACAGACTGTCTAAATGCTAATGGAATATAATTAATTCTAAACCCAGACATTTGTGACAGAGAAGATTAAATAATTAAATTTTACTTTTTATATTGTATAACCTCCCATTGTAGTTTAAGGTGAAACTTAGTTTACGAACTGTCATATTAGAAATTATAGCAGGAATTGCAGACACTAAGTCTGGACAAAACTAAGAGAAAACCCTTTGAAGTGAAAGAAAACTTAAGTTATGGCAACTATAAAGATAAAGCAAAATGACGTCAAAATAGCCACCAAGAAAAGTTAACTCTTTCCTGGATAGGTATGTTTAGTAGGACAAGACTTCCCTCTATAGACCAAATACTAAATTGCTATCTGGAAGGTAACCACACCTCCAGTGTTCCTATTGGTCTATCAACTAGTGAATTTTCCCTTTAAAAAGTTAAGACAGAGGGAAGAGAGGTGAGAGGTAGGCGAGGAATGCAAGGGTATGCAAAGGAAGCAAAGAAGTGAGCAGTCGGGGACAATGCAGAGAGGCCTATGACAGATATCCACTCTAGGACACTCAGAAATTCCTACACACCTCCATGCAGAGAGACATCCAAACAAGTTCAGATGAAAATATCTACTCAACTGGTAATTATACTGGTTTCATTTAATTAATTAAATTAATTAAAATGTTCTAATAGCATGATATATAACTGGATAAATCACGATCAGATTTCGATATTTAGAAATCTTAGTTACTAAAGAAGTACATTATTGAACTTTCTATGCTGCAGATAGAAATTAATCATTATGTATTTATGTGACATATCACATGTTAGCATATCGTGATATTTATCCAGCTGTATTGATTTGCTCTAAAATAAGATAAAAAAAATCTGTTTAGGCAAATTAAAAACAAACTCTACTTATATAACATGGTAGGTTCTCTTATTGGATGGTTCCAGGAAATGACTAATGAGCTGGTTCAAATGTTATTTCAATTGAAAATCACAGGAGTATAGGATACTATATACCTAGGAGGATCTAGCCAGCATTGAAAGGGTTATTCTAACTGTCAGCTAAACTTTACGACCTTACGCTGCACTCTGAGGAATTCTGTTCTCTGCCTGAAACTTTTTCTTTCTCTCTGTGAAAGATAGTCATAAATCTTCTCTTGACAGAAAATGCTGTTTAGCCATTAAAACGTGTATTGCCATTTTGTATTGCATATCATTTTATACTGGATATTCATTGATTATTGTCACGCATGTTACATATTATTATTAGTTAATTTGTTACAATAAAAATAAATCTATTTTTATAACAAATTGTGATTTTATTTATATGAAATACTTTTCAAATAATACGATAACGATCTTTGGGATCTGAGAATTGAATTAGTGGGCAATTCTCACTGTTTACTATTATTATCCCATAAATATCCCCACAGTATGACGTTATATTTTATATATATTTATATAAAACTCCTAATACTGATCCTCCTCTCTCGCTCTCCCTTCAAGTCAGTGATATCCACATAAGTCCATCCTTGCAAGCACGCTGTCCTGGCATTATACTTGACTCTGGCCTCATCTTTGAGCCTCACTTCCAGTTTGTTGCCAAATCCTGTAAGTTCCAACTTAAAAACGTAGCCCACATCCACCCCTTTCTTACACAAGATGCTACCAAGCAGCTTGTCCATGCTCTTGTAATTTCCATCATGGATTATTGTAACCCTCTCCTGATTGGTCTTCCCAAAAGCCGTATTGCACCTCTACAGTCTGTAATGAATGCTGCTGCCAGACTGATTTTCCTCTCTAGTCGGTCCTCTCACACCTCACCCCTTGGTCAGTCCTTAAATTGGCTTCCTGTATCCTATAGGAGTCAATTCAAAGTGCTAACCCATACCTATAAAGCAATGAACAATTATAACCCCACTTATCTCATCACAGATTCATAGGTATGCCCCTTCTTGTCTCTCCGCTCTGCCCGTGACCATCTCCTGACCGCTGCTCGCACCTGTACGGCCAACTTGCGCCTGCAGGACCTCTCGCAGGCGGCTCCTTTCCTATGGAATAGCCTGTCTACCGCCATCATACTATCCCCTTGTCTTCAATCATTTAAGAAGGGCCTTAAAACCCATCTGTGGCAAACCTAGCCACTTATAGACTTACACCGTATATTCAAGCCAACTGTATATTCCTGCTACTGTTAATTTTATTGTGCAATGTATGCGGCGTTCGTGTGTTACACACGAATACCGCTGATGTTAAGTCTGGTTATCCACGAACAGTGAATCACTGCACGAATACACACGAATACCGCTGATGTTAAGTCTGGTTATCCACGAACAATGAATCACCGCACTGTTCGTGGAATAAGCAAAGTACCAAATGGGAGACCACCCATAGCCGGTCGTGTGCCTCCCATTAAGTACTTTGCAACATTGTATCTCTTTTAATTGCGGTCTGTTACTGGTGGCTGCCATTCGTGTACAGAACACGAGGCGGTGGCCATCTTTGTTCGCGGAAAACCAGCAGGGTTTTGTCGTCGAGTGCCTGGAACTAAAATCGGCTACTCGGCAACACAAGCCCCGCTGGACTTCCGAGCCGTTCGGGAGTTTGCCTTTTTCGTGACTTTCATTCCCTCAGTTCAGGCAATCGGTTAAACAAATTGGTCCTGATAAGGGAAACTGAACCGCATTTGGTTATTTGTGCTGGGATCTGAGCGCAAGTTCCCTTAACTGTGCGCCCAGGTCCCAGCTATGTAATAAATGGTTAAATAGCTGTCTAGCACAAATATTATGTGGGTTATGGATTTTAATATGAAAATTGTATTTCTCTGTACCAAGGGATAATCCTATTAGCAATGCATCCTGGGATGATTATCTCCTTGGTACAGCAATGTATGCTGGGTACTCTGACTGTAAAACTAAGTCCCCCATATAGTCCCCTACTGGACAAACCCTGCATTGTGACTCGGGACACCCCATACAATTGTAACCACATAAATACTGTGCCTGTGATTAAAAACCTCAGTTGACCTCCAAGCTATGTGTCGTCTAGTTCTTGGGAGGAAAGGATTATTACTACGCTATCTGTGTTTTACCTGCTTATCCTGACTACCAACGGAGATACCGTGGATTAACCCCTACTACTCCGCTACACCATCTCTTCAGGAAAGCTTATGGCCTCCCAGAGTAACCTCTACCTTACATACCTGTCTCTTGCGTTCTCCTATAGGGTAGTGCTTTACTCTCTCCTCCAGCTCTGCTTCACTCCCACCCTATTTGATTGATATTTCCTGTCCTAACGTGTCTTATACCCCACCTCCTATAGACTGTAAGCTCGTTTGAGCAGGGTCCTCTTCAACCTATTGTTCATGTAAGTTTTCTTGTAATTGTCCTATTTATAGTTACATCCCCCCTCTCATAATATTGTAAAGCGCTACGGAATCTGTTGGCGCTATATAAATGTCAATAATAATAATATATATACATATTGTATATAGATATAATATATGTATATATATATATATCTCATATAAACATTTTTTTAAAATTATTATTTATTAACTATATTTGTATTTTTTTTGTACTAACGTTGCTGGTGTGAACGGTCTAATGGGGTACAGGGGTGGTCTTCGTTTGGGAGACGAATGGATATAGTTCGTATGCAGTAAAAGGGTAAAACATGCGAAATGAGGGAAAAACCATGAAATTGGTGGTAAGTTCCGCCACACAGCTCCCCATAACCACAGTATGATCCTCCCTAGTGATGTCCCGAACGGTTCGCTGGTGAATAGTTCCTGCCGAACATCGCTTGTTCGCGTTCGCCACGGATGGCGAACATATGCGCTGTTCACACCGCCCCCTATTTGTCATCATTGAGTAAACTTTGACCCTGTACCTCACAGTCAGCAGACACATTCCAGCCAATCAGCAGCAGACCCTCCCTCCCAGACCCTCACACCTCCTGGACAGCATCCATTTTACATTCATTGTGAAGCTGCATTCTTAGTAAGAGGAGGGACAGTGTAGCTGCTGCTGATTTGATAGGGAAATTGATAGTTAAGCTAGTGTATTCACTGTCCACTACAGTCCTGAAGGACTCATCTGATCTCTGCTGTAAGGACAGCACCCCAAAAAGCCCTTTTTAGGGCTAGAACATCAGTCTGCTTTTTTTTTCCTGTGTAATGTAATTGCAGTTGCCTGCCTGTCAGCCTGTGTGTCAGACTCACAGCATATACTGTGCCCACTTGCCCAGTGCCACCACTCACTCACTGGTGTCACAATAGCTTGCATTTAAAAAAAAAAACAAAGCTTTTTGGACTGTAATATAATAGCAGTCAGTTTCCTTCACTAGTGTGCGTTTCAGGGCCTGCCCAGTGCCACCACTCACTCACTGGTGTCCCAATAGCTTGCATTTAAAAAAAACAAAAAACTTTTTTGACTGTAATGTAATAGCAGTCAGTTTCCTTCATGAGTGTGCATTTCAGGGCCTGCCCAGTGCCACCTCTCACTCACTGGTGTCCCAATAGCTTGCATTTAAAAAAAAAACAAAACTTTTTGGACTGTAATATAATAGCAGTCAGTTTCCTTCACGAGTGTGCATTTCAGGGCCTGCCCAGTGCCACCACTCACTCACTGGTGTCCCAATAGCTTGCATTTAAAAAAACAAAGCTTTTTGGACTGTAATATAATAGCAGTCAGTTTCCTTCACGAGTGTGCGTTTCAGGGCCTGCCCAGTGCCACCACTCACTCACTGGTGTCACAATAGCTTGCATTTAAAAAAAACAAAAAACTTTTTTGACTGTAATGTAATAGCAGTCAGTTTCCTTCACGCGTGTGCGTTTCAGGGCCTGCCAGGGCACAGTGTCACACCAGTGCAACTCATATCTGGTGTAACAGTAGTGTACATTTTTAAAAAAAATAAAAATTTCGACTGTAATAGATTGAATAGCAGTTAGTTGTCTGCAAGCGTGTGTGTCAGGCCTACAGCGTCTACTCTGCCAACTTCTGCCACTGCACAGTGCCACTCATATCTGTTGTCACAGTAGCTTGCACGCATAGTACCACTAATTGAAAAAAAAAAGACAGGCAGAGGCAGGCCACCCCCCAGGGGCCGTTGTGGTCGTGGTGCTGTGATTCCCTTTGGCCCTAGAATAATGCCCAGTGTTCAGAGGCCATGTACCACTGAACTCGAAAAGTTCTGAGGACATAGTTGACTGGCTAACACAGGACGCCCAATCTTCTACAGCTTCCGCTTGGAACCTTGACGCACCATCCTCCTCCAGCTTAGCTTCGGGCACCTCTCAAGTTACCACTCACCCG